GTGGGTCGGTCACCCCTCTGAGTCTCAGTCCTCTGAACGTTACTCCTCTGAGTATCGGCTCTCTGCGCATCGCTCCTCTGAGTACTCCTCTCCGGTCTACCCCTGGTGGGACAGTTGAAAGACACATGTCCCATCTGCTGACATCTGAAACACCTGCTCTCAGTGTGTGGACAATCCCTGATCAAATGGGATCCACCACATCTGTAACACCTAAGGGCAGCACCTCCACCCTGTCCTCCCCCTCTGGTAGTCTCAGTAGGTTGCCTAATAACAGGACCCCTTTGTTGGGGCCTATCATACGGCTTCCCCTGACTTCCACTTCCTCTCTTGGACCCAGATGGTCCATCAGCAGCTCTGATCACCCGACTACTCCCTTCCAACCTCTCTACAATCTTCGCCTTCTCCACTAAGGCGGGAAACTCGGTGATGGCCATAGGCACCACCACCTTCTTCAGCTCATACTTCAGCCCCTCCGCAAATTTTCTGCACTTCCAGGCTTCAGAAATAGCCTGTGAATAGAAACGAGCCAAGTGCTCGAACTTCAATGCATACTCTGATACAGTCAACCCACCCTGAATCAATCGCAAAAACTCGGCCTCCTTGGCGTGCCTCACGCTCTCCGGATAGTATTTCTCCATGAATACGGTTCTGAAACACTCCCAATCAACTGTAACTCCCTGAGTAGTAAGCATCTTGTAAGTGTTTCTCCACCAATGCTCGGCCTCTCCTACCAGCATATACACAGCATATGCCAACCTCTTTTCTGGAGAGCACCCCAGAACATTAAAGATCTTCTCTAACTCACGTATCCAGCGGTCAGCTACCTCTGGATCCACTTCACCCGTAAATTGCGGGGGATGACACTTCCGGAACTCGGCTAGGTCCCGGCTCTCTTGTGACCCCGTGGGCCTTGCTGCACCAGCTGCAGCTCTCTCAGCTTCCATCCTAGCAAAATATGCATTCTGCTGTTACATAGCCATAGCCATCATCTTTATGGCACGGGCTATCTGTTCGTTGGTTCTAGTCATCGTCTACAAAATAACAATATCTTTAGCACACTACCAATCACCCAAACAACAACTATCAACACAGTA